CATCCATGACTCACAACACAGCAGCCTTCAGCACCCCATCCAGCACTGATCATGTCACCCAGGCAGCAGAACCCATTCCATGACTCACAACACAGCAGCCTTCATCACCCTCTCCAACACTGATCATGTCACCCAGGCAGCAGAACTCATCCATGACTCACAACACAGCAGCCTTCAGTACCCCCTCCAGCACTGATCATGTCACCCAGCAGAACTCATCCATGACTCATAACACACAGCAACCTTCAGCACCCCCTCCAGCACTGATCCACCCAGGCAGCAGAACCCATCCATGATCCAACACAGCAGTCTTCAGCACCCCTCCAGCACTGATCAGTTCATGATCATCTCCAGCACTGATCATGTCACCCAGGCAGCAGAACTCATCCATGACTCACAACACAGCAACCTTCAGCACCCCATCCAGCACTGATCATGTCACCCAGGCAGCAGAATCCATTCCATGACTCACAACACAGCAGCCTTCAGCACCCCTCCAGCACTGATCATGTCATCCAGGCAGCAGAACTCATCCATGACTCACAACACAGCAGCCTTCAGCACCCCCTCCAGCACTCATCATGTCACCCAGGCAGCAGAACTCATCCACACAGTCCACGGATAATCTTCAGTGTTGAGTTTCTTCAGTCTTGTCATGGACACATATTTACCTGCACATACATAACACTTACAGTCAGCAACATCCTGCAGTCTGCCATCCACTCCACTGTACATCTTGTGTACCCACCTTCCTCACTCACTGTACCTCTTGTGTACCCACCATCCTCATTCACTGTACCTCTTGTGTACCCACCTTCCTCACTCACTGTACCACTTGTTTACCCACCATCATTCACTGTACCTCTTGTGTATCCACCTTCCTCACTCAATGTCAATATCTTTCTTACTGATAGCATAGATATAGATAAGACAGATGCTTGTATATATAAAGACAGTCTGATAGATGATATAGATACCAAACAGACAGACATACAGGTATTGAAAGACTGATAGAAAGATATAGAAGCACAGATAGATAAAGATAGACAGTTAGACAGACATAAAGACATACTTGTAGCAGCAGAGTCTCCATGATCCAGTTGTTAATTTCTCAAGGATTTAGTCGTTAACACATCTGGAACAAACAAAGAAAAACAGTTAATATACACAACAGTTTATGATAAAAATATGTCCATAAATTAATAGTTATTCAGTACAGCAGTTGTTTGTTTTCCAATGTCGTATGTTTCCATTAGAACAGTATTGCTCACACCACATTCTAGTTTCTTAATTATTTCAAGTTTGTCACTCAATTTCAACGAGTTATTCTTTCTCTTCACACAACGAAGTTTATCACCTATAGGAGCCATTATCATGGGCTTGTACAGTACTCTGTAAATGGAAAGAGTAAGACTCAAAATAATGTTATGTTACACCGGTATTCTATTCATACTGTGCTTGATATAATGCATTCACGGAAATGTAATATTTTTGCTGAAATGGCGTACGTATCACAGTGGAAAGTTGGATAAAATCGTGACGAAAACAATGACTTAATCTTTCTTTCGTTCAAAAGATGTTACCGTAATCCCTTTTCGAATGGTTTTCAGTTAAAAAACTGTTGTATTACAATAATATTCTATCCTAATTGACTTGAATAAATACTACGATACCATATTTCTGAATATTTTCATTAAAATCCATCAAAATCATTTTCCTTGTCATCGTCTGCAGCACCAAACAGCTTCTCCCAGTCCTCTCCTTGAACGGGGCTAGAGGGTACGTGTTTTTCGAATCGTTTTCAGTTAAAAAACTATTACATCACACGTATATTTTACTTAAACTGCGCCCGAATGAATATATTCTTGGAAATAAATAGTGTTGCTGAAACGTGATGTATTTCAATGTAAATTAGGATAAAAATACATGACGAAAACAAAAGACTTTACCTAAGCTTCCGATGTTCTTAAGATGTTACTCGTTTTTATAATAGTTTTCGGATGAAATTCTGTTATATTACAATGATATTCTATTCATACTGTGCTTGATATAATACATGTAATAGTTTTTTAACTGAAAACGATTCGAAAAACACGTACCCTCTAGCCCTGTTCAAGGAGAAGACTGGGAGGAGCTCTTTGGTGCTTAAGACGATGACAATGAAATAGATTTTGATGGATTTTAATGAAAATATTCAGAAATATGGTATCGTAGTACTTATTTAAGTGAATTAGGATAGAATATTATTGTAATACAACAGTAGTGACGACGTGGAGGAGGCAGAGGCATAGAGCGGGGAGGTGCGGTGACTGGCGGCAGCAGGGACGAGTGGGGATGCCAGCCAGTACATTACGGATGCTTACAGTATTAATAATTATTTATATTTCTTTTGCATTTTTAATGTAAATAAATTATACGTTTCAACAAGCTGCTATTTATTTCACAAGATATGGAAATGTAATATTTTTGCAAATGTGGCGTCGTATGCAGTGGAAAGTGAGGAGGATAAAGGTGCCTTGACAAAAACATTGACTTTATTTCTTTAGATTTCAAAACCGTTACGTAATCACTGAATGGTTTTCAGTTGTATGTGGGATTGTAATTCTAATGATGATAGGATAGAATATTATTTATGTCTGATGCAGTACAACAGTTTTTAACTCTGAACCGATAAAATCTGCGATTCTGGTAAAATCTGAACGAAAGCGAAAGTCGTTATTTTACCGTCATGACCTATCCCTTTCCACTCTATAATATAACTACCTCATTCAACAAAATCATTTTTCCTCTTATTGAATATATTCATTCAGTCACAGTTAAGGTAAAATATACTTGTGATGTAATATTTTAATGAGAATATGGTATAGTAGTTTTCTTTTGTTTCAAATTTAATTCACAAAGATTGATGTTTCAAATGTAATGAACAAAAATTTATGTACAGTATCTATAAATAAACTTTAAAAAATGAATACTTTGTTTTACATCGTCCTGTTGTACTGCGCACATCATTGTCATCCCTAAAAATCCCATCTAATTCATATTACGCTACATAACATTCAAATGCACAGCGCTTGTAGAACCCCAGAAAACGGGAAACATTGAGAAAGGACAACTCACCTACTCAAGGTTCCTAGACCAGGTGTGGTATTGTACCCAGGTATAATTATATCATATCAAGTGTATGTATTCATAGCATTAAGGATCACTCAGGGTAGGCATAAGATGAATGTTAAAGTCCAGTTGAGCCGGACTAGGGTACTGTAAGACTAAGTGTGGATCAGGGTTTGAAGGTCCTACTATTTACGTCTGTGAGCGTGGAGCGAACATAACTCCAACAGATATCATATGAAAATACATGAGAACAATGATCTGGAAAAAGGATAAATGTATCAGAACTATGTGAGGTGTTGACAGTGATCTAGAAACTATACTGGAAAGGAAATATCGTGTATGCGTCGGTATAAATTTAATACACCTCGTAGCCTCACGTGACATATACCCACGACAGGTACAGTGATCAGAGAATCTTATGTCTGTGTTCAAATAGTGCAATGTGTGAGAGGAGGATCCCTCATTACAGTTTTTAAGTGAAGTTGATACACCCCCGCCATGATCATTCGGCTTTGGTTTCAAGGCGCGCCATGTACCCGCCTCAGATGCCCCGTTGATATTAAAATCCCAGGCATTTAACCAAGCACTAGCAAACCAAGACCTGACCTTAGTGTGTAATTTAGGATTAATATATGTGTTTATAAGAAATGAGTGACAAGATACCGTGAAGTGTTCAGGTGAGAACCATAAGAAACAAAAGTGTAAATTGAGGATTGGAAACTGTATGCCTATGTGACGAGAAGCGGCGGGAAGCCGGCCTTAGTCTTTCCCGTTCTGCCGTCACCACAGGTCAGTGTCCTAGCGGGCTATATCCCGCCCTACAAGTAAGGTTGATAAATAGCAGTTACTACAGTTTAAAGCTTTGCCGGATATATAAGTGTGATAGGGATGTGTTAAGGGGTGGGATACCCGCCCGTCAGGCATTATTGCTTAGTCTTTCCCGTTCTGCCGTCACCACAGGTGCCACGTGGTCGGGGTATCTTGCCGCCCGGCCGCCATTGTCTCCTTGAGCGCCACACCAGGTGGGGAATGACTCCCCACTATACCAGTCCACTATGAACCGGTGGATTCCCAGCGCACCACTCCACATGAATAGTCACCTTCGGGGCCGTAAGGTCACATACTTGCAGGTATGGAGTGTAACAGGTGTGTTGAGATGGTGCTACTATGTATGATAACTGACGGTGCTAAAATCCACACCCGTGGAACAGTCTGATGTGTTAAGGGATATTGTAAGAAGGAACGACCGAGATACGGCGTTCACCGATTGTTATGCAATAAGTGGGTGGATGACCCGCCAGTAATGTAGGAGTCTGGGGCCCAGCTGGGTAACCAAAATTCCGTTGTTCTTCTGAGGAAGGCCAATTCATGTATGTTGTTTTTACCAGTATGTTTTAGAAGGAATAAATCAATTAAGACATGTTATGGTTTCCCCCTTCTTTACCCTCATCGATCTGGTCAATGAAAAACCTAACCCAATGCCTAGTCCACTCTGCCTGCTACCTAACGAGCTACATGCTGTCCAGAGGGGGTCTGGTGGCAGCGACCCTTAGACATTAAGATTAGAGTTAAATTATCCCCTTAGATTTAGTGACCCCCAGATCTAGCAGTATACTGTGTATACCATACCATGCATTTGGTTACTTTGGGCTTGCTATTATGATGCAAGAGATCTGCCCTGGCAGCTGTACCGACACTCAAAGCCGGTGGTGCGTCGTTTCCATTGTTTACTGGTAGTTCCTGGTAAATATTTTTCAACCTAACGAAACTATTAGCCGTTTAGAGGTCAACCCCTAATTTTTGGCCAAATAATTTGGTCTTAAAAACTCGAACTACACACAGGTATACATGGTAAATAAGGACATGGGGGGGCCAGGGGTTTTTTAGGGGGGGGGGAGGCAAAAGTACACGGATTTTTAACATTCATGGGTATCTCTCTTACCTAACCCCCGCGTATGTTAAGGGCTGACTGTATGTATGCATGCATAAAACAAGTAGAGTATTAATAAACATGATGGTTCATGTGCTATAACAGGAACAGGTACTGCAGTAAGAGGTGTAGTATTACCTGGGCCTCGGCCATATCCAGCCAAACACTGTGCCTTTAACCTCTCCGAACCTCTTCGTTTTGACGATATAATCAAAGATAGCCGTTCTTTCCTCGTGGGAGTAGTATACATCTTTTCTGTAAAAGAAAACTTATGATAATATACTTTGTTTAATATTTGTTCACACAACTAAAAGGAATATCCTTCCTTCTTTAGGCATTTGCCTCCAGGTGTAATGTTAACCTACATCTATTGAGGATAAAATCTTTCACCTACAAATTGACAACAACACATTTGCTGTAATCAGACATATCTAGTTGCCTCAACCCCAACAATAACCGAATTTTTTCTCCCAAATTTTCTTATTATTGTGGACTAATACTGTAAAACAAGTTAATGATCACCAAAAACAGCACTCATCTTACACCCCCCTCATAAACCCCCCCAAAATAATATAATAATAAAAAACTCATTTGCCTATCAGTATTTATCTTTCCGTCCCTATTATTCGCCAGAGATTTATAATATTGCTAAGTATAATAGTGTGAAATAATAAGGAAACACCACTATAAAGGTGCTCCTCTACTTAAGAACGTTCAAGAAAATTCCAGATAAAACAAACATTACCTAAGAGGAGAAGAGTGAGCCAGGTTTTAAGGCTGTATTAAAGGGTATAGCTGGGCTAAATATCCATCATCTTTTCAGTTTTTACAATAAGTTTGGTATCTACAGGAGTAAAGTTGGACTTACAAACAAGCCTCAAGAACGTAACTCTTTCGCAAGTAGAGGAGCATCTGTACTTAATTCTTTTCTCAGCTGAGAAAAGATGCCCCGCCCCATGACTGTATTGCTCTAATTTTATCCAAAATTTTATTATAACATGCATATTATCTCGATATTACTACATATTAATTCACAGAAATAAACAAACATGTTGTCAGTGAAGAAGAACACTCACCTCAACCCAAGAAACAGGAAGTTTGCAGGTGTAAGTCCTGGACCCACTCTCCAGAGGATTTTTTCAAAGCACACTAAGTCTCGGTAATTTCCAGGAAGGTCACCTGCAACAAGAAAGTCTCTTTCAGAAACAGGTAATTAAACACAATTGAAATCTTAACTATAAAGTAGGAGTGACGACAACTTGTTTCAGTTGCTCTCCACCCATAGCAGGAAAAGGCTGATATCATCATAATCATCTCCAACATTTCATGTCCATTTCCCACAGTTGTGTGCATAGCCATGATTACCTGATGGCAGCTCTCTAAGCTGCATAATGTCTTTTAATAACATCATAAAGATTAAGTTGTAAATGTGTCCACCAAACTTTGAGGGCTTGGAACCCTTGGAAGCTCTAAACTAGAGTGATTAGGGCTAAACTGACCATCAGCCAACTTCCCCCTAACCATGTCCCATGATCAGATGTTTGACAAAGCAAGGTTGTCCATGGTGGCTTGGAAGGTATGGAAATCACTCTCAAGGTTTCACAGCACATGAGTTACCAATTATTTACTTGTCAGACTTTATCACTGAGCGGGAAGAAGAATCAACCCCACATAATCCACTTACCTCTTATGATGACATCAAAGGAGGAGGATGGGATCTCATTAATTCTTTTTAGGCTCTATTATCAAACAGGATTTCAGGATCTATCCTTTATAACTAGTTATCTGTCAAAAATAACTAATGAATGCTTAAGCTGTGCTGTACAAAGAGCACTCATGAAGAAGACCTGACCACAGTTGATACAAAACTGTACCACGTATGAAAATATGGAAGTTAAAGACACACGTAATGAAAATTGAAAATGCCCGAACTGCAAAGGACATCACCGCACTTTGGCAGCACGATGCCCAGTAAGGAAGGATATCATCAAAGACATGAAGGAAAAGGAAAAATCGAACAAACATATAGAAACTTACCCAACCAAAACCTATGCTGCAATAACAAAGTTGCAAGACACTACAGATGGCACGCACGCGCCATCTATCGGACAATCCCAGAACCAGAAATTTGACACGGACAGTCCCTCGCTTAATTCAGATTTCGTCAGATATCGGGATTAAAGGGGTCCGTTTTAACGAGGGTCTACCCTTCACCATACTAGCCACACCGATACATGCCCACATAATCAACGTGGCTAACACGGGAACATTCGGAAAAACTATCAGAGAAATGTTGGCAGCGAACAACCTACCACAGGTAAACTTCCCACACAATGCCCCATCAGCAGACATTTTCAAAATAATAACCAAAAACAGTCTAGGAATCACCAGCAAAGAAAGGGAAGATAAAATAACACAACAAGAAAATTGCACAGGAGCAGAGACTGCAATGGATACAACCCACTCCCAAATAACCACAAGACCCTAGAGAACATAACCAACCAATCAGCTAAGTCAACACCAGCAAGACCACGTAGAGAGAACCCCACCGGTCAACGGCCAGCCGACGTCGGAGACAGCATAGGAATCAGGTTTTACTCGGTCAACTCCCTGTAACAAATGAGAGATTGTTAAAAGATATTAAAGAAGGAACAACCAAATACACATATGAAGAGGGACTCATAGAAACACTAATACGTGGAGGAAAAATAAGCAGCAAATACAACAAAATCGAGAACGTAGACTTATCAAAATTCAAGAAAATAAGAACAGGACTGAAGGAGAAAAGAGAGAGACTCTCCCCCGGAGAGACCCGAGCAACCGAACAACACGCGTCAAGTTCATGCGACCCACGATTACGCAAAACAGAACACAGAAAATAATACAACACAACGTCCTGGCCTGGACACATACAAGAAAAACAGAACTGACAAACATATACAACAGCATAGACCCAGACATAATTCTCATAAACTCACACCGACGGAAAAACAGTGACAAAATAAAACTCTTCAACTATTACACACATCAACTGAACATACACTCAAAGACAATTTCCAAACCTACTTCTTAGCAGTCGAAATCAACACAACTAAAGGCCCAATAACAATCGGAACAACATATTTACCTTGCCGACGACAAACATTCCCGACCGGCGACTTACTAAAACTAATGAGACGTAACACACCAGCATACAGTATTTTATAGGAAACTTAAATGCGACACACACCATACTCGGACACAGAACCAGAAACCCAAGGGGGAAGATTATACACGACCTATTAGAAAACGGCAACATCACACACCTGGGCCCAGATTTCGAAACCTACATAGCTGCAGGAAGCACCGGGAAGCCGGATATAGTTCTGACCAATAGAGACCACCATTTGAATTAACACATGAAACCTGGACCAACCATCACTAGCGATCACCTGCCCATAATTATCACTCTATCAACATCACCAATACAAATCCCCTCCATCCCTAGATTCTCTTTCAACAGAGCAAACTGGGAGGGTTTTAAGGCAGAACTCAACACAAACGAACAAATACATCGACATAATAACACAGCAGACATTGACATAGCCCTGGAAACATGGTACTCTAAAGTCACCACAGCCATGGAAAATAACACCCCCAAAACAACTTACCGCACACTACCCCACGCACAATTAACACACGAACAGAAGATAATCCAGACAAGACTGAATAATATACTAGAACATACAAATACTCACGGCCGGAACCAAGAAACAATAACTCTCTTCAGAAACCTAAAGGAAGAGCTGAAAGAAATATGTAAACAATCACACAACGACAAATGGAACCAGATAATCACAACCCAAAATTTTTCTGGAGAAAAATAAAAAACTAATGGGCACTAACTCCATAGATAACAGCCATCTTATAGACGACAACGGGGTAAAAGCTAGAGAATCTGTAGAAAAAGAACTGATCTTCAGAAATTTCTGGAGTAACATATATAAAATGACAGAAGAAACAGAAACTATTGTAGAGTAACAGAACAGATGGTAACAACACACCTTACACTATACACACAGAAATGGCAACCACCAAGAACAATAGACCTCAACATACTAATCAGTGCAGACACATTAACCTTGCCAATCACCACAAAGACATAAGAAACATAATAACCACTTTTAAAAATAAAGCACCTGGACTAAGTCAGACAAACAAAACAGTCCTTCAAAACATACCCACAGATCTTTAACGCTTCACTAGCAACAGGACACTTCCCCAGACCTATATCCTTATTAGAAACACCAGGGAAAATACTAGAAAAAATAGTCAACAGCAGACTCAGAAACTATCTAGAACAGGAAAACAAATATAACCCCAGACAACACGGATTCCGAAAGAACCGAGGCACAAACACGGCTATTGCATTAATTTGAGAATCAATAGCTAACGCCGTCAGCAATAAAAACCAGTGCAATATTGTTCTCAGAGACGTATCAAAAGCTTTTGATAAAATGTGGCTCTAATTCCACAGTGAATTTGATCGAGGGGGCTAAGTTGTTCAGTTGTGGCAGGAATGCTTTTAGGTCCTCATTACATGGCCAGAGACATAATACATCATCAACATATCTAAACCAGACTGCTGAAGGTGGTAAAATATTACTTAATAGTTTCTTTTCAACTGCCACAACTTAGCCCCCTTGCTCAAATTCACTGTGGAATTAGAGCATGACTGTAAATTGCCTTTACTAGACTGTCTGATCCGCAGAATAGGTAACACCTTTAAGTTCAGTATTTATAGGAAACCTACTCATGTGTGTTCATACATTCATTATTATTCTGCCCACCATAATAGTCAAACAGTCAGTATTTTCATCATTGTTTTTATGTGCTTTGAGAATTTGCAGCCCGGAATTTATTGATGAGGAATATAAATATATCTATAATATTGGCTTGAACCTTCAGTACCCTAGATCTTTCATAGACAAATGCCTTAACATTACTAAGAAATCTTTCTATAGAACCAATCCCAAGCCCACCCATGACCATAAGAATCTCTTAGTATTACCATTTCACAAAAAATTTTCTCAAATTCCTTTACAACTAAAAACCTGGA